CATCTATCTCTGAGTTGTGAAGAATATGTATTAAGGTTATAACAACGAACAAGAATGCACTTTTATGTAGAAATCCATGATTAAATCGAGTCTTCCTGACTAGTGATTTAAATCAAATCCACCCTGTTCAAGTCACTGATTTTAATCATGATTTAAATCAGCAAGCAAGAAACCTTAATTTAAATAACTGATTTTAATTGTATTGTGCATGTGTACTTAAGTTATTTTCTACACAAAGGTTAATTCTCATTAGTTGGTAACATTAAAACATATTGATTGATGGAATCTACAGATTGATTCGTAACTAAATATAGCCTTTATACTAAATTTGGTGTTTCTTTTTGCTAACCAGGGTATACTAGATCTATACATATGTATTTAAGCAATTACATAGCTTAATTTACATTTAATTCAAATTCTTAAGGACTCCCTTTTTTATGACATTAGAAAATCTTGAGTGATGCATTTCTTATTTACTAGATAATTAATTTTTTACTTGTGATTTGTGTCAAAATCTATTTGAATGGAAATTCAAATTCAATTAAAAATGCACAAAAACAGCACTGTACATTTTGTTTTATTAAATAAAGCTACCTTAAAAGTACTCAATAAATGAAAAAGTTCTTTTCAAATCATGATCTGCATTTAAAGCTAACTGATTTATTAAACAAAGGATGTATTATTAACTGCAGTTTATGAATTGAACTGATTGTTTCTGGCCACCATGTTCAGGTTTGCAGTCCCTCTGCATCTCACTGTGAATTCCCCAGAAGGTCTGACCAGGGTCTAGCACCTGTGATTAGCCTTTCTCCAGGGGCTACAACAACGTATACCAGTTACCAGCCAGCCTTCACAAAGCAAAATACATTTATTCTTAGGGTAAAAGCATTACAGAGGCAACATATGAAAAACAATAAACATTCCTATATGCATGCTAAAAGTTATCAGATGTCACCCATCAGTTTCATGGGGCCCTAGCTGCCCAAAGTCTTTCCAAACCTTCCACAAGGGTTGGGCCTAGGGTGACGAGACAGCAAATGTGAAAAATTGGGACGGGGGTGGGGGTAATAGGTGCCTATATAAGACAAAGCCACAGATATTGGGACTGTCCCTATAAAATCGGGACATCTGGTCACCCTAGTTGGACCCCACCTCGGACAGAAGGTCCTGTCCATTTCCCAAATCAAAAGAAGGCCCTGTGTTGGTTTAAACCCACCCTTTTTACACCAAAAGCCCTTTGTTTGTTTGTTGGTCTATGGAAAATCCATTTAGAGCCAGTATATGCAAGCCACCCCAGCAGGTAGTACGGCTCTGGAGTTGTTTGCAGTTTCAGAGACTAGCCTTAATCACCCCCCACTGTTTCTAGTTCCTGTAGGAGCTGGGGTAATCCTCCTCTACCTACCCTCCCCCACCCAAGCTGCCTACAATCCCTGGCCCACAACGATACATATTACATTAACCACTCATAAACAAAATACAATAGGGTCTCTTTAAAATAGTGCACGCTGCTGCAATCGGTCATAAACTGAAGTAGCTGAATAAATTGAAATGAAGAAAATATTCTCTCTACACTTGCAGAAGAGGCTACTGCTGTTAAAAGATGGTTTACCACCTCAACAAACTCTGGTTCCAAGTGCTTAGCCAAGGCCTTCCCTTAGTACAATGGTCTGACGTCCTTTAAAATTTGACAGCAAACATATATTGCTTTAAATTATTTTAACAGATTATAAGAGGTTTGGGCCTCAATACAGATTGCCAATTTCAAAGTTAATTTTAAATGTTTTTTTTAATAAAATTGTATTTAATTTTTAAAAATCTGATTTAAATAAAAAATCCATTTTTTTATTTTTAAAAAAATCAATTTTTATTCACACTGGTCATATCACATTCCAAGGGTGATAAACCTGACAGTGCAAAGCTACAGAACATCACTGCTACATGCCATATCTAATTTTGCAAGTCTTGAGGCTTAGAATGGACATGTTGCCCATGATAAGGATTCATTTTATTAGATTTACAAAAATCCTCTACAGGTGCCCAGCCCTGGGCCCATTCCATATATTAAATACAGAATACAATATACAAGGACTGCTCAACCCACCTTGACATATAAATAGATACCAACCAGTTAATATAAGAATAAAATAAAAACAAACCCCTCCAGCCCTGAGTTCAGCCCTACTCAAATGCCTGGGAGGAAGATGGGCTTTACAGCATGCCCAAGTGGTTAACAAATCCAGGCTGAAGGAGCTCATTTTTGGTAAGAGCAACAGGGAAGGGACAGGTAGGAGAACTGCATCTAAAGCGTCCCGAGGATCTGTAAAATCTGCATGGCTTGGGAATCTGAGATTGTCCTGAATGTGAAATGTCTGCTTAGCTCATTATTTCCCTGACTCTTACTGATTGTGTTAACATGCAGTGCATTTCATCAACCTAAACTCTAACTTAATGAAGGTTCTGGCATAAGATTTAGCCCTGATCCACCCTACGAAGTTGTGTTGGTATAACTATGTTGCTCAGGGGTGTGGAAACAATTATACTGACCTAACTACCGGTGTAGACAGCGCTATGTCAACAGGAGGGCATCTCTGTCAACATAGCTACCACCACACGGGGAGGTGGAGAAACTACGCAGATGAGAGAAATTCTCCTGTCAGCAGAGGTAGCATCTTCACTAAGTGCTACAGGAGCACAGCTGCAGAGCTGGAAGTGCAGACAAGCCCTTAATTGTACTATACTACAAGTGCTGGGGGGGGGGAGGGCGCGGTGGAATGGCGATAATTATAAATAAAATTAGGAGTAGGAGTAGTCCAGCTCACCTCAAAACACTGTTGTGACTTTTGTCACCAAAAGTGACTAGATTCAACTAATTACTCACATTTTCATTTACTTACATCTTTTACTTTTGGTAAGGGAGGTGGTGGCAAAAAAAACCGAAGATCAATATCCTTGGATCGGGCCAAACCAATCACAGTCCTCTGATCACAGGCTTGAGCAATCGTCCTATATTGATAATCTGTAGTAAGAGAAGGTACATGTTATGGCCAAAACTAGCCTTGAATATTTCAATTAATTTTAGTTGTGATTTCCATAGTACTTTGAAAATATGAATACAAATAGAACAATATTACTGCAATCCACACAAGTTTTCCATGATTCTGTAGTCACAAACTCTAAAGTGGAAAAATAAATGGGTTGTCAGATCAACACAAAACGAAAATGACATTTTAACTGCAGGTATTAATTAATCCTTTTAGGCCAAAATGTGACACTGTAATAAAGAATTTCAGACACTAGCCAATCATATGTGATCGCAAGTGTTTAGAGTTAGTGCTTTGAAAGGAAAACAAAAATCACAAACCAAGGCTATGCTTGCACTCAGGCCTGTGGTCTTGGTTCAGACAAAACTTTGAAATCTGAAAGATTTTTGAATAGTGTTATGCTACATATAATATTTTAGAAATATAGCATCTTAGACCCTGGTGGTGCAAAGACTTACACACAAAAACTACATTTAATTAACATTATTTAAGGTGGCAAAGTCAAGCACCCAAAAATTAGGAAATGCCAGAATTAAAGTAGCCTATGCAACCTTCAGAATGTCTATGCATTATGATACTGTTTTTAATTACATAATCTCATACTATTTTTTCCATAGGACCCCCGCCTCATTCAGTGCACAGACAGTGCTCACTTAATGAGCAGCTATTCAATATTTTGTTTTATCCTCATTGTTCAATGTGTGGCCCCAGGTCTTGTTTACGGCACTCTGGTCAAACACTGTTCGAAGACAGATTTATTAATTTCCTTATGAAGTTTTCTATGACACTCATCACTATACTACCTGAGTACTTCACATACATTAATCTAGCATCAAAAACTCCTGGGAAGAAAGGGAATATTACCTCCAATTTATAGAAGGGGAGTTGGGCACAGAGAAATAAAGATCAAAAGTATCTACTAATTTAAGGTGCCCAATATAAAACACTTAGGATCTGATTTTTCAGATTATTTAGCATTACATAATTACTAAATATGTTTAAAGCACAGCACTCATTGACTTCAGTGGCAGCTCTCAGCACTTCTCCAAATCAGACCATAAGGTCTCAAACAAGGGATCCAGAACATGAGGAACACTCATTCAATGACCACCTGTGAAATATTTGGTTTAAACCACTTGCAGGGCCAGCTTTAGCAAGAGCGGGGCCGGAGCTCCGGCCAGGATTGCGGGGCTTGGGTCCGGCCCGGAGCTGAGCTGCGGGGGCTGGAGCCAAGCCGAGCCGCGGGGGCGGGCCGGAGCCGAGCCGAGCTGCGGGGGCCGGGCCGTTAGATATCAAAAAGATGAATAAGGAATGGAGATAAAAGTTCCAGGCTTACCTTAAGGATACAAAAAATGAAATTGAGATGAAAGGGAAAATATTAGATGCAAAAACAGGATTAAATGAGCAACTGGACAACATGAAAGAATCCAAATAATTGAAAAAAGAGAAAAAGAAATAGAATTAAAGCTGTAGGACACGGAGAACTGAGAATGCAAGAATAATACAAGGATAAAAGTTATTCCAGAGGAAACTGAAGCGAGAAACCTGCTGGACACGTTGGACGATATTTCCCATTACATATTAAAACTGAGCAATAAAGATTGCATTCATACTGAGAGGGCTCACAAATCCCTATTCCCCAGGTCCCCAGTAGGCACCAGACCAAAAGATGTGATTGTCTATCTACACTACTATCAAGAAAAGGATAAAATACTGAGTGCAATGAGGGAGAGAGCTGAACCACTGATGTTTCTTAACCAGCCGTGACCCTAAAAGCATCCCTATGCGAGAAGGCAAGGGGCTTCCTGGTATCTACTAGTGAGTTTCTGGTCAGCTCAATGCATCCAAACTCACTACTGTTATATTCTGTATCTAAAAGGTGTCACGTAATACATCATTGGAAAACTAATAACGGACTGATCATTAATATTTTTGTGTGATGTATGTAAGGCCAACCCACAAAGGACGATGAAGATATGCTGAAATTATAACTAAAATATGTTTAAACCATGTCAAGCGAATTGATAACAGGTTTTATCCAGACAAGGAAAGAGGCCAACACCACAAACAAGGTATAACACTGATAAGCCAAGTGTCAGCCCTGTAACTAAGTAACCCATCAAATGAGAAAGAAGTCTTTTGTAATACAAATGAAGAACTTTAACAGGAAAGTGCTAATTCCTGCACATGGAAAGTAAATGGTCATTGTGTGTGAGATCAAAGACTTTGGTAAGTTCATTCCTCCCCCTCACAACCATGAAGAAGGAATCTGGATGGGAACTCTTGCTGTCAGTTTCATTTCTGTGAGAAGAAGCAAGAAATATGGACACAAGGAAAAATTCTTCATTTATGGGCTTTTTGGATTTTAATAAGGCAAACAAGGAGGCAGAGATCCCCAGAGTTATTCTGGGTAGCCATGAAAATCTTTTGGGAAACTGGCAGAACACTACATCTCTGCTACCTTTTGAAATTAAAGACTGTGATTCACCTGTACATATATTTGTATCTGCTTTAACCTCTCAATAACTCATTTCTTTTTCTTAGTTAATAAAACTTTAGTTATTTACTACAGAATTGGCTATCAGCAGTGTCTCTGGTGTAAGATCTCGAATGCAAATCGACCTGCATAAGCAACAGGTCTCTTGGGATTGGGTGTAACCTGAATATTTTATGATTTTTGGTGTAAGTGACCAATTATCACATAGTCCATCTTGTCTGGGTGGCAAAATTGACTGGAGTGTTTAAGGGGACTGTCTGTGACTCCATTATAAGACTATTGCAATATCTTGGGAGTTCAGCTCCCCACTCCTCGGCCTACCTCCTGGCGTTTCCCGCTGCCAGGGAGCGGGGAGGAGCAGGGAGCTGTGCATTCAGGGGAGGAGGCGGAGAAGAGGTGGGATGGGGCGGGGATTTGGGGAAGGGGTTGGAATAGGGGCAGGGAGGGGGCGGTGTTGGGGTGGGGACTTTGGCGAGGGGGTTGGAATGGGAAGAGGCAGGGCAGGGGCAAAGCCTCATGGAAAGGATGGAGTGGGTGTTGGTGTTGGGGGCGGGGGGCTTTTGTATCTTTTTATGAAAAGGTGTCAGTGATGCGGCCTTCAGGCCAATGTACTAGTCCTCATGTGGCCCTCGTGGTGATTTGAGTTTGAGATCCCTGGGTTAGTGAAATCCAATTATAGAACATAGTGGGACCCAGTTTGGAGTGTCTGCTCTGCTTTTGACAGTCTACCCTGAGGTAGGTACTCACAGTTGTGAGCCATTCCAGACAGCATGACACCAGACATGCACGAATTCAACGCGCTATTCATTCGTATCAGAAGTTGCAGGGAGAGATCATTTGCATTGTAAAAATCCAAGATTCCACAGGAAGTCTGATGGAACAGTGAACTGAACGAAAATCTCCCAAGTTCCAAGCTAGTGTCCCAACTACCACAACATCCTTCCTCATTATCACTCAAAGATATACTGTTTACTTTTCATATTGAGATGAAAGCAACATGACACTGTCTTTGACACACTGGACTCAGTTTCCACTTCTTGCAATAGCCACTTATGGCTGCCATGTCTTGGTTCAGGTTGTCCTCAACCTTTTTGAAGTTTCTGTTTCTTGAAGGTAGGGAGAGATTGGAGGATTTTCAATGTTCAAAAAAGTTGTGGCAAGAACAGATTCCTGAGAGTTATGTTCTTCTGGATCCTCCAAGTGCTCAATTTATTTTCCAGCATCGCTTGTAATTTTCTGTTTCAAAGCATCTTTTCTGTAGACCTAACAACCCATCAAGATAATATCTTTGACATCAGTATCATCATGCTTTCATCTCAATTACACTAACGCTTCATGAGAACTCAACATCTCCTTGAATGGAGAATGATTAGCACAATATCCAAAGCCAGTATATCTAGGAGAAAGTTTAACTTGCACACTTGCCTATAAGGACCACCTCACCAAGGTAACTCAGAAGATTAAGAGCAGAAAGGGCCTTTTATATAAACTTGCAAGCACAACTTGGGGTGCTAATGTGCAGACACAGTTAGCTCTCTACTACTCCGATGGAGAATACTTCTGAGTGGTTAAACCCTCTCTACACAAAGCTAGCTGATGTACAATTGAATCAAATGATAAGAATAATAACAGGACTATGAGACCAACAAACACCGATTGGTTACCAGTCCTTTCTAATGTCCTGCCTCCTAACATCAAGTGTTATAGTGCAGCAAAGAATCTCCTTGACAAAACCCCGGAGATACCACAACTGCCAATTTTCAAAGATATATAGGAGGCGCCTTGCCACTGTCTCATTAGTAGAAGACTAATCTGGACTATGTTACTAACCATGTCCATGGTTATCACACTGTGGCGAGCAAAATGGGAACATGCTGCTCCCTCTGTAAGAAACTCCTTCCTCATTACTCAGCTTGATGAGGGTCTGCCTGGCTTTGAGCTGCCATGCCACACCACCTCTATTGCAAGCTCAACCATTTCAGATGTGGGCTGGTGAGGTGTGTGGCAAATGACTACACCAGAAGACTCAGGGACAGCCCTCTGTGTAGTTGCAGATGGATGCCTACTGAATGATTGCTATCTTGTGATGGTCTATCAGGAGGACTTTCCAGACCCATACTTCTGACCCCAAAGTTACTGAATGGCTAAACTATGCATGATGCTTACATAAGCCCTTTTGACATTTTTCTTTTTTTCTGACACACACCTCTGTTTTATTTCCAGACTTTATATTTTGTATTTTGAACTTTTCTCCAATCTTTATTGTACCACTTGTACATTTGCTAATATAATAATGTGCATATGTGAAAGTGAATCTTTATTTACTTACTTTTTTTTATTCTATTTTGTTTTCCAAACTTACTAAACATCTGTTTGTCATTCAGACATAGAACCACAAGTGAGGTTATTTTAACATTCAGCAATTTTTGAGTTATATCTGTATAAATAAGGCTGTAAGGAAGTGGTGATTTTTGGTTCAAAAGTTGCAGCCATGGTTGTTTAAAGTTATAATTTTGGTGCAGAGCCAAATTTGAGTGCACCAAGTTCCAGCGCCACTCACTCAAATTTGGCCAGGGCACCACTCTGTCATGACTGAGGGGAGACTGGGCGAAATTTGAGTGATTGGCATTGCGACCTCATGAACAAGTGGCATTGCAAGTTGGTGCCTGGGGTCCCAACACTATTCAAATTTGTAGCAACTATAAAAATTTACAGTATGTGTTAGAAGTTGTGGTTTCCACAACAAGATAGTGGCCTGCAATTTTTGGACACCCTTACATATAAAAAGAATTCAGGGGCAAGTATATTATATTCCCTGTTCACACAACTCAAAAACAGCTGAACACATCTTCAAACTTTAAAAGTAAAGTTGAGCTTTGGGCTCTGATCAGAAAGACAGTAACAGTCCCAAAAGGAGAATGTATGGGGGAAAAAATTATGAGTGAATGAAAACAAGGGATTAAGTCAAGATGCAATCTTAACATTTTATTATTAAAAAAAATGTTAAAATAGAAATGAAAATAAAGTCACCCAGTGCATCCTTTGCTGAAACACAACCATCTCTGGGACTATGCATGACAGCTCTACAGACTGGACACTTTTAGTAATTGATTTTAAGTGCTGTTCTAGTCTTTCCTCAGTAGTATTATTTAGAATCCTTTTAAAGTGCATCTTCTACACAGAGAGAAATGAATCAACAGGAGAAGATTAGAAAAGGATGCTGCACTTAATATAAGATTTTAAGTAAAATGGCTATCCTACTTTATTTGATAAACTGTTCACAATCTCACTCTGTTTTGCACTCTCAGCAATTAACTTTGCTTTGCGCTGTCAACCTAAGTGCTGAAAAAGAGATACCTGATTGGCCTGGAGGTCATGGGCTAGATTCTTCCCTGTACTTGAGCTTTGACATTGTTTCTGTATCTGTGGACCTGGTAGAACTAAATGTACTAACAACATAAGCAAGTGTATGCTCCTCTAGCTCCCCAGCAAAAAAATCAGAAAGCACATTTTCTCAGGAGTACTATATGCTGTACATGCACCTGATAATAGTATGACACTTCCCTTGCTATCCCCCAATATATCTGGACGTACAGGATTAGCTTCCATGGCCATAAACGTACTAAAAAACCTCAGAGCTCCCAAAATTCTACCACTAAGAGAAAGTTTTTGGAGTGCAGAAGTGAAGGATAGAAGCATATGTTTTAGCACTGCTACCATGGCAAAGAATGCACTGATACCTGCCAAGCAATTCTACCACATTTGCCAGAAATTTAGCTCTGAAAAAATAAGAACAGGAACCCTGGGATTTTCTAAGTATAAACATACTAAAAAGAATCAAAATAACAAAACTGAGCTTTTATTCTGAAAAGGGTAAACACAAGAAGCAAAGGCTCCTTTAACATAAAAGAAAGTCAGCATTTATTATAAATAGCTGGAAGCTATAACTTATAATACAGGAACATGAAGCTAAATTGGCCTTAAAGAAAAGTTCTCTTACCTAAGTGTGGGGGAGGTTTCTACTTCTCTCTGAGCAAACACAGACATTAAAAAATACTTAGGGTAGAATGAATGTTTTAGGATGATAATAGCATGAAAAATCTTTCACCTCCAGGCTGCCACATCAAATCTAGACCAAACTGGTAGTAACCCATAGTTGTTACCATCCAATAGCTTTTAAGTGGTCTTCAGGAATTGTGTTTGATAGCCTCAGTTCTGTCCCAAATGGACATCACCAAGCTGCCACCACAACAGACAATCTTGTTGGTAGTCCCAACACAAAGGTCAAAGAACTAAAAGATACAGAAACTAAGCTACCTTCTCTTGTCTAGATGAAGTCAAGATTGAGGCACATGGGTGGGGCAACATGGGGAAGCCTGCACTGCAGTCACACATGCGCTGTTTTGTGCATATGGGTGCCTTTAATCAGCAATAAATTAACATTTAAATAAAAAAATTTGAAAACCATTTTCAAAAAAGAATATTTGCCTTCTCCTTTGGCTACCAGCCCCTTTTCATGTTAGTATTTGCCAATGAACATAGAGCAGTTAAATGAGATCTCATCATGTTTCAAAGATTGGTTAGGCTGTCACAGCATACATTACCATGCCAGTGACCGTTCTCTGCCAGTTGCTGCACCGCCTGCAGTCGAACGATTCTGTCTTCTGATTGACTTCTCTTCAAGAGGACCCACAAGGCACGTTCATGATCTTCTGTAAACGTACTGAAATATTCTTTACCAAAAATCACATAAATATAATGTTAAAATTAATAAGCATTTTTCTTTCATAGTCACCTTCTTATTTATCAACCAAAAATACTATTTCCTGGATTATTAATATGACTTAATAACCATTTATGGAGCAATCATTTAATAAGTGCTACAATATCAAAAAACTGGTAACAGACCGATAAAATGGAAGCAACATAATCTTCAGAAAACCATGGCCAAAATCCTGATCCTACTGAAATCAGTGGGAGTTTGTTTTCATTTAATTTAATAGGGCCAGGATTTCACCTCATCTTTTTATATTTTATACTTATATAGAGTCTTTAAACTGAGGATCTCAAAATGCTTTATTTATATTTAAGAACTGATCCTGTATAGTGCTTACCAACCATAACTGCCACTGGCTTCAGTGGGAGTTGGGGATGATCAGCAACTCTAAGGATCTGGGCCTTAATCTACTGAACCACACTCACAACACTTCTGTGAGGTACATATTATACCCATTTAACAGATGTGTAAATGAGGGCAGATAGAAAGTTATTTGCCCAACATGTCATATCAAGCTGATGGCAGAATCAGGAATTGAACCTTTAAGTCCTGACACCAAGTCCTGTGCTCTAACACACACACACACACACACACACATTACAAAGAGGTTGCGTTCCTTTCAATTAACACTAACAACAATCCTGATGAAGAGTGTCACACACTCACACCTAGTTCCTAAAATAAAAAATCTTCCAGGACTTCTTCACCAAACAATGCTTTTGGCATCACAAAAGTTTTAAGCTTCAAATCTCTTCTGAAAGAGGATGCAGTATTCTGTCCTAGCATGTGTCTAACATTTGTTATCAAAATATAATGCATATAACTTTCCTTTAAACACCCTGTTTGTAAAAGTGGCATGAAATATTACAATCATGTAGGAATATTATAACTACAAACTAGTATCAGATACATAAGAAAAATGCTTCTATTTTCTAAAGGTAATAGATTTGTACTTTTCTAAACATGAATATTAATCACAGACAAGCCAACATTTCCACTCTTAATACCTACCATCAAAAGGTCTCCGGAGAATTTTAGCTTCAGTTTCTAGTATTTTCCTCACTACTTTATGAAGTTCTTTTCTTGCCTTGCATGTGATTCCTATGAAAATATTATAGGCTTATTCAAGGTTGATAAGGGAAATGTTGTAGTATTATGCCCAGGAACCGACAATCTTAAATAACCAGTTTCCATTAAACCATAAATTCAAGTTACAGCAGAATTAAACTTAACCCTTTATCCTTTCAAAGTAGGCATTTTATTGTGTGTGGGTCTTTCAGATGAGGAGTTGAGGTCCAATTGTCTCTGCCTGGACATTAAAGACCCTCCGGCACTTTTCACAAAAGTAGGGATTTGTTACCAAAGCTTCTCTACACATTCACTGGCACACTGAATGATTTGTGTTGTTTATTACCAACCTCCAACCAAGAGCTGCTTGCATGTCAGTGTTGCTGTATCTAAAACATTTAGTTTTATATTCCCTTTTATATAGTAGGTCCATATTATTTTGCCTCTCGTACTACTATATGTGAACTAATAGAAAAAGGAAATTCTTCCTAGTCTGTTATGCAGTATTTCTATGGACTGAGATTAAGAACGTCAATCTCTACATCTACAATGACACCATTCATGTTCACCATTTAAAATGTAAAAGGATAAAACCAATGTGTGCAGAGGGAGAGAGAAAGTTTTACCAATCTAAAATTTTATTTATTTAAACAGCCTGTTAAGTTCTGAAGCAGTTGCCCAACTTTTCAGTTAGAAAGATGCTTTATTTAAAGGACCACAGGGTTTTAGGTTTTTTTAATATTTTTTCTTTTGCAAATTACATTCAAGAAAACATATTTTCTATATTAAAGAATTATAATAACTTCATAGTGCTTTTTATTTATGAGATAACAGTCATTTTCTGAGCCACTTAAACTCTGAGGCCAAATAATATGGATAAGGTACAATAAAAGCATACAAGTCGTTTTGTTACAAGATTAGATCAGCACTCTAACACTTAGGTTATACAAGAGATGAAACAACTCCAATTCCATTTCCTAATAAGAATGATAACATGGCTGTTCTCAAGGGTCCATGAAACAATGTCAGTTTAAGTGATCAGCAGTTATACATGTGTGTCAGATGATGCTCAAAAAAATAAAGGAAGGAGAATGAATAGATAATCGTCTTTACTATTTGCCTCTGGAAGAGGGAAAATTGAATGCATACCTTGTGCGATGCAGGACAGCACAGCTGAACAGTATTCAGCACCGACAATTGCATTTATTACTATCGAGATCCTCATCCCCACTCCAGCCCCTGTGTGCCATGTAAAAGGGCCAGAGAGGCACATAAGAGCCCTAAAAGCTCTGTACCCAGATGGGACAGGAATCCCCAGGTACAAGCATTGTCAAAAACAGCAGTGAGGCTGCCACCTCCAATGACCCCTTTGTAGCCTCGGGTGAAGGGGACGTGCTGGGGTGGGAGGGGATCTGCCAAGGGTGGGACTGCAGCATGCAGGGCTGTGGAGATTCCAGGCAGCCCTGGGAGGCTGCTGTAATTTAGACAGGCTCCAAGGGCTGTCTACATTATGCCAGGGGGCCCTGTAGCAGCCTAGGATCAGAAGTGCACAAGGGTGGTTTAATGTCACTTTATCTCTCTCCCACACTGGGCTACAAGTTCTGTGCTATGCTTCTTAGCGGCACAATAGAAAATCTCATGCTATGTTTATTACAGGACCACGCAGCATGACCAAATTCTTTTTAGTCCTCTTTTACCACCCCAGTGTCTCATGTATTGTTTGAAAAGCTGCTCTCTTAGTTCTGTCTCTCAGCACACAATCTTACATAGCTTACCTTGACATTCACTGGGATCTAAAGAAACTGTATTTATATAAATATAGGACTTCAGTTTCTCTTGCTGTACAGCTTGAGTATCGAGTGTCAGTAACTTCTTTAGGGCCAGAACTTCATATGTAATAAATACAAAACCTCTTAAAAAAAGAAAAGAAAATGGAATATAAATACTGTAGTAGTCATAGAGTTTAAGGCTAGAAGGGACCACCATATCATCTAAAAATACAAATGCAAAGAATGAAGAAGGCAAATATAGGTTGAAAACTGTTTTATGGTAAATCATTATTTGCTCTATAGAGATTTGATCTTCTTTGTAATCAAGTGTTTGACATGTTGCAGGGGCCAGTATAGTGTCTCAAATAATCAGGGCAAAGAAAGAAAAGTGATCTTAATGGACAGTACTTTAAAATATGTAAAGATGTTCAGTTATCATTTAAAACTTATGGTACTTCATGTTTAAAGATACCTTAGCAACATCCTTTTTTGGGGGGAAGTGACATAACTTCAGATATAAATAAAAGATATAAATTAGATGGGTAATTGTTAGTTACAACTTACCCGAGAATAAGTGATCCAGTTAATTTTGAAATTTTTCCTTAAATAAATAAAAAAACACCCACGGTCAAACAAACTGTGTGAATACAAATCGTTATTAAAAAGTTAAGGCATTTGATCAGTTCTGGATACTGTACATCAAAGATGATACAAATTTTAAAAGAGGAATAGAGCAGGCTTTTCATACTCATTTTTCTGTTTCTGACTCCATCTTTTCAGTAGTTGAAAATTATTGATAGATTCTATTTTCTACATTCTTCCCCTCTAGTTTTAAATTACAAAATTCCCTGCTTTCACAGCTAAATAAGCTAATAAATCATTTATTACTGACAGTATATTTGTCTTCTCTTCAGTATTATTCTCTCTAGTTGGTGACATTCATAAGCTCAGTAGCACGTGATCAACAATATGGCTACTACTGAACTGTTGCCATAAACTATGAAGAAGAGTCCTCCTTTAAATAAATAATTTCATTGAGATCTCTGCTGTGTGGGGGTAAATACAGGAAGATACATGCTCTTATCTGTCAAGTCTTGCAAAGGTCTCTCGAATAGGTTTTCTTTACAGGAATTCAGTCAAATCTCATTCATCTAAACAGGACAGCTGACACAGTATTTGGCACTTATAGTGCGTTACACTTTAATTCTCAGGACACTGGCCAGACCTAAGGCATTTTATACCTGGACAAGGTAAGCCTGTTTTTTGGATTCCAGAGGAGCCAATGGAAAGGGTCTGTTACTACTGGGAGGAGCAAATCCCAATAGGACATATCTCATCCTGTCAAGAATAAACTTCCTTTGGAGACTTGCCCCACCTCCCACTCCACCAGGTTCTGTCCTTGCAGGGAAGTAGCATGGAGCAGGCTTCTCAAAGATTTCTGGCATGAAAACGAGAAGCAGTACATGCTGGAAAAGTTACTGACAGGGAAGGTAAAACAGGCATGAAACACAAAGTCTGCTATCTATCGAGAATGGAAGTATCCAGTCTTCGATGCTGGGGCAGAGAGATTAGGAATCCAGAGGGCTCTCCTTCTAGAGAGGGAAAGCAGAAGGAAGGTAGAGAGTAAGAAAGAAGGGTGGTAGGCCTACTGCCAGCAGGCAGGCAGGAAAAGAACCCAGGAGCTAGGTTTACTCAAATGTTGCCCCTTGCTTTAAGAATCTCAGGATAAGTTTGTTCCTATGGTTCTAAGGGTAAAACAACAGACATTGAATGAGGTCAATTTATGGAAGCTTAATTCGATGGTAATTTTTTGGAGACTGCCATCTTGTGTTCTAAAAATCTTTTGTTTTCTTTTTTTCAAATAAATTAAGTTTCTAGGCTTTACGGTTCTGAAGCTAGTCCTTTGGGATACGAATAAAGCTTAACCAGTGCAGAGCTATCTATCTAATCAATGCTAGCTATTCCACTCATGTCAATGAAGTATTGACACTGAAGCATAATAATGATATTTTAAATGACAACTCTGTTTGACAAGGTGAGTGATGGCAATACACTGGAGGGATGGGAGAGAGACTGAAAACATGAACGTATCATCTCCAAGTATTTTGGGGTTACACATGGTATGTAGACCTTTCCAATATGATCTTGTGAAGTCCAATACATAATGCAAATACACAGCTTATTGTAGCAACACAAGTAATTTTTATGAGCTCATCGGGCTAATATTTACAGAATTGCACTTACTGATATTTTTCCACAACAGATCACTTTTTGTGGTTGGACCAGAAGTTCCTATTCTTCTGCAGCAAAATACACAATAAGCAGCCAACGACATTCTGTAGATGTACAAACAAAAATTATTAATTTAGGTAATATAATTAAAAACCTCCAGCAAATTTCTGTGTCTTTTCAGAGCAAAAAAAGCATTACTCATTTATATTGAACACTAAAGTGACAGACAGCTAGAACCTAAGAAATCCATAAATTACTGCATTTGGTAGCTTACACTTGAATGATAAAAGTTTAACACAGTGCTTTTTAAAACTGTGTGTTACAGTTGATTTTACTGTGCATATTTTTCAAATTACCTCTCTCCTCTAGTAAGTCTCCATTGCTGCATCTTAGTAGCTATTCATTAAGTATACCTCTATCCCGATATAACGCTGTCCTCGGGAGCCAAAAATCTTACCGCGTTATAGCTGAAACCGCGTTATATCGAACTTGCTTTGATCCGCCGGAGCGCGCAGCCTCGCCCCACCCGGAGCGCTGCTTTACTGCATTATATCCAAATTCGTGTTATATCGGGTCGCGTTATATCGGGGTAGAGGTGTATCATATATTTCCACAGCTCCATAAAGACATTACTCTGCATCATACATGCTTTTCAACCACCAATTCGTAGTAATCTCATTGTTCTTAATGTTTAGAATTGATTTTGTTTATACAACCATCTGCTTGATGGGACTTTCAACAACAAATAAACATTTACATCTTTGAAAGATGTATTTCACAGAAACTGTCAGAAGTCTTCTGCTGTTAAAAGGTTATGATTAAGGCTATAATTTTCACATGGAGGTCACAATGTTCACGGTAATCATGAATCTGAATAGAGTCCGTGAGGAGCCCACACTGCACTCACTCTGCAGTACCAGCTCCTGTCCTATGGGGCTCAGTCCAGGTCCTGGCTCTGGGCATTACAACACCACTCAAGTTTGGCCCCTCTGCTCTTTTGCAGATGGAAATGGAAGAGCGAATTGGCCAAATTTGATTAGCACTGCAACTTAGCTACACATACAGTCACAATACCACTCTGGTGTGGCCCATCCGCCTCTCTGTAAATGGAAACAAAGGGGTGGATGTACCAAACCTGAGTGGCGCTGCAACCACATGTGATAGGTTGCAGCACCCAGAGTAGCGAGCTGGGCCCAGCTCCATTGGACAGGAGCCGCTAATGCGGACTGAAGGTAGGGTGGGATCGCTCTTCAACCCCTCGCCCCTTTACTGTGACTTAGTTTTTCCCTGCACCTCTGCTGTGAAATTTACTAAATAATTCTGTGCCAAAATCGTACCCTCAGTCCTGAACCAAGAAGGTAAAAGTCTACACTTGATAAACACATGCTTTGCTCTAAGGTTCTGTCATGGCCTGGGCTGATGAAGATCAAGCACATTAAGGGGGCTAAGCACTATCCTACAGAAACACCTACCCTCATAAAAGAAAAGAAGCGAAAAGTAGCTGTAGCCATCAGGTGGAGGATATTTTCTAGTGTGTGAAATTATAGCTCCCTCAACATTAAGAAGAGGTAGAATATTATCAGGACTGTGACTGTACTACAGTCTACTACAGTGTTTTTCAAACCGTGGGTTGCGACCCAGTACTGGATCGCAGCATGTAAAGCACTGGGTCGTCTTCCTCTGGTCTGCACCGTCGACCGGGATGTTAAAAGTCCCATCGGCGATGCTGCCCAGCTAAGGCAGGCTAGTGCCTACCTTTTCCAACACCACGCTGCACCCCGGAAGTGGCCAGCATCGGGTCCGGCTTCTAGGCAGGGGGGTCACGGGGCTGCGCGCACTGCCCCCGCCCCGAGCACCGGCTCTGAATTTCCATTGGCCGGTTTCTGGCCAATGGGAGCTGGGGGGGCGGTGGCTGCGGGCGAGAGTCACGCAGACCTGGACCTGTTGCTGGCCGCTTCCGAGGCACAGCGTGGTCCGTGGTGCCACCGTAGGCAGGAAGCCTGCCTCTGCATCCCGGCTGTGCCACTGAGCGGGAGCCACCAGAGGTAAGTCCATGCCCCAAACCCCTGCCCCAGCCCTGAGCCCCCCCCAAGCTGGAACCCCTTTTTGTTCCCCAAACCACTCATCCCCAGCCCCACCCAGAGTCTGCACCCCCAGCCCAGACCCCGGACCCCTCCTGCACCCCAACCCCCTACCCCAGCCCTGAGCCTCCTCCCACACCCCAAACCCCTCATCCCCAGTTCTACTGGGTCGTGGGCATCAACAATTTTCTTCAACGGGGTCCCCAGAAAAAAAAGTTTGAAAACCACTGGTCTACTACATAGAGAGGTCAGGTATGAAACAACATAGATATTTGATGTGAATACAGTCACCACCACAACCACAAAGCATATTTTAAGAATATGGAAGCTCTGAATAATTAGTTTTGCCAACGGAACATACCACAGTGAGTCTGTCACTGAAGTATCTGAGTGCCTCTCAAATAATAACAGGTTTATCCTCACAACACCGCTGTGACATATGTAACTACCATTATCCCCATTTACACATGGGGAACTGAGGCTTTGATAGCCACACTGCACATTTCTCAACTACATAGGCCTAGTCTACACTACCATGCTACATTGGCGCAGCTGCAGTTTCTGGTGAAGATGGGCTATGCCGACTGGAGAGCACTCTCCCATCGGCATAATTACGCCACCTCAACTAGAGGCAGAAGATATATCGGCGGGAGAGTGTCTGCTGCCGACAGAGTGCAGTGTGGACACCGCTTTAAGTCGATGTAATTTATGTCGCTCAGCAGGAGAGTGGCTTTTTCCACACCCATGAACAACTTGGGTTACATCGACTTAAATGGTAGTGTAGACAAGCCCATAGGATTATCTCTTACTTCTCAAGTAGTACCACTGAAGTCAGTGCCACTACTCAAGAAATTAGGTGCTATTCAATGTAAATAAGGGAATCACTATCTAGCCCAAAGTGATTAAGTGACTTGCCCAAGTAACACGGAAAGTTTGTGTCAGAACGGAGAACTGAACCAAGATCTCCTAAGTCCCTGTCTAATGCCTTAAGCTCCAAACCATTCTTCTTATGTACAAATGTGGTACACAGTTCTTTTAACATTTAATACTGTTCTCTTGTTACCTCCAGAGAAAGAATAATATTGTCTCACCGGGCCTGAATCACCATGCACTACCCTCCTCCCCTAGTCCATTGGAGGGATTTAATACTGCTTCTAGCAGAGTTAACTCCTGTGCAGATCTACACTTGGAAATGCACTGGTATTTGAGCAGCTTCTGCACAGCTCCACTCTATTCTTCAAACAGATTTTGAAGAAAACTTCAAATGAAGTGCAAGAAAAATTAGAAAATACTGTTCTACCAACTAAGTCTGAAGTAACACTAGGGCTTTGGGCAGTCTAACTATTATTTTCAGACATAGATTCAAGAAGAGACAGAGTGCTCTTGAGGCTAAATTAAGTATTTATCATCTACATGGGGCTCAGAATCAGATCTGGCATAGAAAGCTTATAAGAAGAGATATATTTGTCAATAAAACTTTATTAAAAACTATCTTAAAGTTACTACCTTATTTCACTGACTGCCCAGCATGTGTCTTATAATATTAGGATTAAACGAACAAATACACTGGAAAACCAGAAGACAGAGTTAAGGTTGCAGTTCTCAAACAAGATGATGGAATTTCTGGCAGAGGCTAGGGATACCACCCCTGCCCATCCTGGCTCATAGCCATTGATGGAGGGGACCTACCCTCCATCAACGTATCTAGTTCTTTTTTGAACCCTATTATAGTCTTGGCCTTCCCAACATCCTCTGGCTGAGTTCCACAGATTGACTGTATCATTGGATGTTTGTGTTCATATACTTATGTAAGCTGCATTATTGAAGACATTAATTTATTAAAATGCATTTAAAAACAAATGAGTACTCTCAAATAGGGGTTCAACAATTAACTAATTACATTGGATATATAAAGTGTCTTTTAAATAAACAAAGGTCAAATTAAGTCACCATATGACCACAGTTCTTACTAATTCAAAATGACAAACTAATGCATGCACACGTTGACAGTGCTCCCATAAGAAAGGTCTTTATGGGCCTGATCTTGAGGGATGCTGAGCACCTGGACCTCCCAGTTAATTTAAATTGATCTCCAAAGGGAAAAAAATTAAAATGGGCTTGTGCCCTTTTTTTTGTATTTGTTAGTTTCTGATTAATACTGTTCCACTCCTTCCAAGAAAATAGGGGCAGTTGCTCCATGTTATGACTTGGGGAGTCTTATTTGTACAATTTACTAATTCTAATAATATGGAGTTGTTGCTATGAAAATTGTTATATCTCTATAGGGATTTCACTACTGCTTGCAAGACCCTGTCACATCTTCCCCACACCAGCAACAACAGAGAGTTGTCAATTTTAACAATTATACTCTGACCACACAATAGTTATGCTAAGAAGGGTTCCCAAATTGGGAAATGAGTTCTCTCCAACTTCCCTCAGCACGGGGCTGGAGAATGGAAGTTCCTGAAGCAGGACAAAGAGACAGATGACAAAAGCAGGTTATAAAAGTCTCACCAGGTCAAGACTTGTATAAGGATGGACCAACCAAGGTCGGAGAAGGCAAGATGGAGAGAGAAGGCCCAATGTTTCAGAATATAAACCATGCACTGGAACAGAAAGACTCTAGATCAGTGGTTCTCAAACTTTTGTACTGGTGACCCCTTTCACACAGCAAGCCTCTGAGTGCGACCCCCCCTTATAAATTAAAAAAAAGTTTTTATATATTTAACACCATTATAAATGCTGGATGCAAAGCAGGGTTTGGGGTGGAGGCTGACAGCTTGCGACCCCCTATGTAAAAACTTCATGACCCCCTGAGGGGTCCTGACCCCCAGTTTGAGAACCCCTGCCTTAGATAGCCCCAAGGGACTCTGACCTAAGCCCAAGGAATACTCTGGAGTGGTGAAGAAACTGAGGCAGGGAATTACATTTAGGATTTATTATTTTTGAAAAGATCATGTATTTCTCATGCTATTAAAGAGCAGAACTGTGAGTCCTGTGCAAAGTCTGTATGTGTTGTGTGCTACACCTTATCACATGGTCCTTGAAGAGGTAAACCAGAAGGCTCACACCTTCAGGTGGAGATCTGGGAGAGGATGTGTTTAAACTACAGGAGGATTGAACTGGTTCTAGGGGCCTGCACAGGGGCCCATGCAGTCACAGCTCTCAGGAGGGGATCCTAGATAGAAGCTCTGCACCTCAAGTGTGTACCTGGGCTCTGTTCAGACTCCAAAGGCTAAAAATACTTGAGGATCCAGCAGCTAGGTAACCTCACAGCAGTCTGGCAAGCAGCCAGGAGGGGGACACTCAACTGGACCTGTGACACTTGGTTCCTTCCCTTCAGCTCCTCCAATGAAGCTTGGGTCTTCTGTTCCCAGAAAAACTCTATAGTCCTATCCATGCTAAGGAGACTTTAGAAAAATTTCCTAGCATTACTAATATCAACTTAGTTAAACCGTAGCATAGATAACAACAGCAGCCAGCAGGCTATTTCTCAGCACTGTGATATCTAATCCTGCACAAAATAAACCTAAATTAGTGGGGGAAGGGGCAGAGTGAAGGCACTTTTGTCTATGCATGCCCTCCTCCAAGTCGCCTCTGACAAGCTGCTGAAAAGATGGTTGGCAGCTGGCACGCTGTCTAGGCTACAGTTCTCAACATCGCTAACACCAGAGTATGCAATTGCTTGAAACAGTGCAGACAAGGCCTACACTGTCTGGAGAACTAGTGAAAGGATGTCACAAGACTCAAGAGAATGAAAACTGAGCAAAATGAGAGGAGGAAAGGATTTTTGGTTTCATTGTTTAACCTTTTGGATTTGGTTTGTTTGGTAACTTTTAAACACCTATTTAACTTCAATGGCTAAATAACATTTTGGAAGAAGGACATTTGCCGATTGAAAGGGCAGGTGTTAAAGCTTCAAAGTGTGACAGTGCAAAATACCAGATTCATAGATTCTTCTAAGGCCAGAAAGAACCACTGTGGCATTTAGTCTGACTTCCTGTATAATACAGGCAATCGAAATATTTGTTCCCCATGTAGGTACTTATAGACTGTGATCAAGTCATCCCTTAACCTTCCAATTGATAAGCTAAATAGATTGAGCTCCTAGTGTCTATCATTATATGGCATGTTTTACAATCCTTTAAATCAATCATTCTCCTTCCTCTTTTCTGAACCCTCTCCAATTTATAAACACCCTTCTTGAATTGTGGGCACCAGAACTGGACACAGCAGCGTCCGACACAGCTAAAACCAGGAAAGACCAGCCCTTACCTTAGAAAATGTAACAAGCAAGAAAAAAGAAAAAACAAAACCCCAACCACTCAAAATAGGGGGGGGGGGGGGAGAGATGCAATCCCACTTTTTAAAAAAATCCTTTGCAAATCATCTTTAATGGGAATTCCAGTGGTTCAATAGCCTTAAAGATTGGTCTCAAAGGACTTTATAATACTCCCATTGAAGATAATGGAAGTTTTCCCCATGAACTGCAATTGGAGCAAGATCAGTCCCTAAAGCACTGATCATAAAAATATTCATGCACATGAGTAACTAGTTCAATGGGACTTCTCACATGCCAGTACTTGCAGGATCAAGGTCTAATTTTGCAATACAGGGATGTGATTATTTTCTTTATAAGAGTTACGTTATATCTCTTCATTTAACAAAGAAGCTGCAGGACTAACAAAGCTCACAATCTGAGAATACATGGCCCTTCCCATCATGTTGTACATGGATTTGTTTATTTAAAGTGATTACCACTTATTTAATATAGAACAGATGAAGTACAGAACTGTTAGGAAAATAAATATGTCCTTGGACTCCAGAAGATAACTCCATTTACAGAGGAACACCGTCAAGTTAGGTCCAATGTTTATTCCCCAGCTGCCTCAACAAAATAGACAACACACAGTGAAATATCCCAATGGCACCACAACTGGTCCCTTTGGGGAATTTTTGTTTTCTATTTTTATTTTTAAAAACATCCAACCTAATCAACGGTAGTATGTATAAACTCTTCATTCATGGATTCTTTATGACCATAGGTAGAACATGCTACTTGAGTGGTTATTAAGAATTAAGAGGTTAAGAAAAAGATGCACTGCATTATGAAAGGTATTGCCTTTTCATTGTGTCTCTGGAGACACGATCAAGTTTATGGTCTAATCTTCCTTTCAGAAAGATTTTTATAATACCACTTGATCATAGTCTGTAATTGCAGTAAGCACACTAATCTGTAACAGAAAACACTGCAGTTCCCCGCAATCATCAGAAATTTCATTTTAAAACACAAGGCCAAAGTCAATGTCATTCCTTTGTCTTCAGTGGGCCTTGTATCAGTCCCCTAAGGGGCAATACTGCGTAAGAGCTCAGAAGAACAAGAAAAACAAGGTGGGTGAGGCAATATCTTTAATTGAACAAACTTCTGTGGGTGAGAGAGAGAAGCTTTTGAGCTCCACAGAACTCTTCTTCAAGAAGAAGAACAGGTTGTTACTCTAGTATTGTTAGCATTCTGCCTGTTTTCACCACAGGGTTTAGGGCTGTCAACTGTTGGAATTTAGGACAAACATGATATTATGATAAGACAACACTCCCTTTGCCAAAGTTATTTGGGGTCCTAACAGTTTCCCACTGAAATCAGGAGAATTCCAGAACCTCTGGGATCATGCTCTTGGGCTGCAGGGAGGAAGAAGCATTAGTCTCAGACAATTTTATAACTATGAAACATCCAGATGTCACAACACCACAGAGGGAACAACCAGACATTTTAAAGATGACATGCAAAGGGGGGGGGGGAGGGCAGGCAATGAGTTCCACAGGTTGGGACTATGCACTGTGTGAAGAAATACTTCCCTATGTTTGTTTTAAACTTGCTGCCTATTAATTCATCAGGAGACCCCTAGTTTTGTTATCTGAAAGGGTACATAACACTTTCTTATTCACTTTCTCCATCTCATTCATGATTTTATAAACCTCTATCAGATCCCCCCTTGGTTGTCTCTTTTCTAAGCTGAACAGTCCAAGTCTTTTTTTCTCTCTCCTCATATGGAAGTTGTTCCATAGTCCTCATCATTTTTGTTGCTCTTCTCTGAATTTTTTCCAATTTGAATATATCTTTGAGTTGGGGCAAACAGAACTGCACACAAGATTCAAGGTATGGGTGTACCATGGATATATATAATGTCACTATTATATTTCTATCTTCTTATTAATAACCTTACCCTAATTGTTCATAACATTCTGTTCGCTTTTTTGACTGCCTCTACACAGTGGGCAGATGTTTTCTGAAAACTATCCATGATGACTTCAAGATCTCTTTCTTGAAAGGTGAAAACTAATTTGGACCACAACATTTTGTATTATACACGTAGTTGTGATTATGTTTTCCAATGTGCATTATTTTGCATTTATCAACATTGAAGTTCATCTGCCATTGTGTTGCACAGTCACCCAGTTTTGTGAGATGCCCTTGTAACTCTTTGCAATCAGCTTTGGACTTAATTATCTTTAGTAATTTTTTTTATCATCTGCAAATTTTGCCACATCACTGTTCGCTCCCTTTTCCAGATCATTTATGAATATGTTGAATAGCGCTGGTCCCAGCAGAGACACTTTGGGGTGAGGGGGGAAGGAGAGTGCTATTTATCTCTCTCTCTATTGTGAAAACTATTTATTTATTCTTATCGTTTGGTTCCTATCTTTTTAACCAGGGCCTACCCTTATCCCACAACTGCTTACCTTGCTTAAGAGCCTTTGGTATGGTACCTTGTTTTCTGAAAGTTCAGTTTCACTACATTGACTGTACATCACCCTTGTCCACATGCCTGCTGATACCCTCAAAGAATGCTAATAAATTGGTGAGGCATGAGTCCCTTTTCCAAAAGCCATGTTGACTCCCAACATCCTATGTTCTTCTATGTGTCGAATAATTCTGTTCTAGTTCCAACCAATTTGCCTGGTACTGAAGTTAAGCTTACCGGCCTGTAATTGCCAAGATCGCCCTGGGAGCCCATTGCAAAAACTTCATTTAGCTTCTCCACAACAGCCTTGTCTTCCTGGAGTGCGCCTTCGGCACCGTGACCATCCAGCGGCCCCCCTGACAGTTTGGCAGGCTTCCCACTGCCGTTGCAGTTTAAATTTTTGTTTGCGGTTTGTTTTAATCTTTTTTCTAGCTGCTCTTCATGTTCTTTTCAGGCCTGCCTCATTACACCTCGACACTACCCTGCCCCGCCCCCTGCAGCCCTGCTTCCCCCAGCCCAGAGCCCCGCAGCGCCCCAGGCAGCCCCCCAACACAGGGGCTGCCAGAGTCGCTCCCCAGACGTGGCTGGCCCAACAGCGCCGCCCCCCAGGCTCGCTCACCCCCCCGGCCCCCGTTACCTGCCCCGCTGCCGCCTCTCTCCCGGCTCCCGACAGCTGTCAGCGACGTACCCGTGTGTCATCAACACGCAAGACAGGCCTCACCCAATCCCCGTTTAGCGCCAGGGGCGGGGCAGGAAGAGAGCCATGCCGGCCGCGCATGCGCACGGCTGCTTTGGCGTTGTCGGCGGTCGGTTCTCTCCTTAGAACTCGCGCGCCTGTCGGGCTCGGAGCCGGTTGCTCCGTCGTCAGGGAAACCGCAGGTCGGTGGCGGGGGGAGCGCGAATAGGAGCGGGCGTCGCTCACCCCCACTGCTGCCCCTCGCGCAGTGGAGCCCCGCTGCCCTCAGTCCCCCTCCCCCTCTGCCGGGCCGTGCGCAGCCGCAGCTACCTCACCTGCTCCCCCTCCCCCCGCATCATCTCAGCCCTGGCATGGCCCCCCTGAGCCGGGTCGCTGCCCTACGGCTGCAACCGACAGACCTGCCCGCTGCACAACGCGTGACAAGGGCTTGGTCCCGTTATCGCCAGAATGGTCACTTGGTCGCTAGGGGCTTGTCTGCGGGGAGCAATAAGGGGGGAAATTTCTACAGCCACTCACCTGCTGGACGCTCATTGGTGCCTGCAGACCCTGCTGGTGCGCCCCGGTGGTTCCCTGATGCGCTTCTGTCTTGTCCTGCTGTTGTCAGGGGTACTGCATTACAGCCACTAGCAAACAGTACAGAGAGATTGCTCCTGGCAGTATATACTGCTGTAATGGGTAACATATATATAATTGTTACAGTAAATACCAAAAGAGCTCAAACCCCCCCCCCAATTTTTTTTTTGGGGGGGAAATCTATGTAAAACTTAAACTACTAAAAATAAACCCTGAAATTAAATGAATAACCCTGAAGAAACCCAGAAGCACTACTTATGATATTCAACATCACTATGTGCATTCTTTGTATGATTCATTTAAATAATCTCTGTAATTCTTTATAAACTAGAAGATTCTGTACACCTCTACCTCGATATAATGCTGTCCTCAGGAACCAAAAAAATCATACCATGTTATAGGTGAAACCGCATTATATCGAACTTGCTTTGATCCGCCGGAGTGCGCAGCCCGCCTCCCCCCAGAGCACTGCTTTACCGCGTTATATCCGAATTTGTGTTATATTGGGTCGTGTTATATTGGGGTAGAGGTGTTTGTTCCATTACTGTAATGTATGAACAGCCGCCTCCTCCTCCTCATTTGTGGTATTATTGAAAAATATATATATTGAAAATGTGACAATATCTTCTCTAAGACTAAGATTAATATGCAGGCTAGGCTTTATTAATGTATGTAGGTTTTTGTTTACATTTTCATGGCATTTTACTAATTTTACAGTGACTTAAAAGTATACAGGGCCAAATTTTAATGGCCATTTTGGTCAATGAAAAATCTGTTACATTATTTTTTTCTCCTCTTTTCAGTTTCTCTCTGGTTCCAAGCATAATCCAAAGCAAGATCTGTTTTCATTATCTGCCACATCTGGGTTTTCTAAGTGTGTTGAGAAGATGGTGAATGTCCTGAAGGGTGTTCTTATAGAATGGTTAGTAGTTAAGCTGAATTTCAACTGAACACATTTCTTATTTGTTTAGTGCCTAAAACATTCTAGACACTTTACAGAACATGTAGAACCCTCACTCCCTTCATCTTTTCTCCCCCTTCTCTCCCACTGAATAGAAGTCCTGCACAAATTCTGCTTAGACCAGTATGCACCTGTTTGCAGTTTATAATCTAGAAAAGTGAATTTTATTTAGTCTGTAAATTATTGCTTTCTATACAGTAATTGTATGCCACATAATCTAAACCGTTGCCATTAAATTCTAAATAAGGGCCAGACCCTCAATTATCCCCAAAATGTAGATAACACAAGTCAGGGTTTGTGACATCCACTTCATGGCCATGATCTTGGTTGTACTCCATACATGCCTTCTACTGTGTGTTATGTTATACTTAAAACTTATACCAGCAGAGCTGTCTTAGTCAAGAGTGGGTGGGAAATCCACACCTCTAGAGATGTAGCTATTCTGAGAAAACGTTAAGTGTAGATGCAGCCAAGCTGACAGAATACTGTTGTTGGTAAGGGAGGTAGTGTTCCTACGCCAGCAGGAAAAACTCCTTTTGGTATACACTGCATCCACACTGGGGTCTGTAGTATAGTAGTTCTAGACCACTGTCAGGACAGCGCCAGGGTGATCCTCCCTGGACTACTTATTCACAGTGAGTTCACAGTGATAAGGTGTGAAGTGTTCACAATGCTTCTGAGGATTTGTCCGTTAGGGCCTGATTCTGCACCCATTGAAGTGACCGGGAGTGTTGCCTTTGAGAGAATTTGGCCTTAAGTAACCAAGACAACCAAAAACTGTTAGTATTTTGTGAAATTAAATATGGTGACCCAATATTAGAAAGCAGTGAGCCATAGTTATACTGTAAAATACCAAGTAGCATACTGCACTGTGTTAACAAATATCTTCAAGCTGCTTCATGGAATTATTCCAACACTTGCTACATTCTCTCCTTTTAACTCTTTCCGGTAGTATTTCAAACTGTCCTTGCTTTTTCATAAAAGTATTTGTTGTATATGTACTTAAACTCTCTATTCTCTGAAAGAATTGTTTTCCTTAGGAGTAAAAATCTAGTCAGCAGGAGAAGGTGAAAGGGTGGGACAGAGGAAAGATGTGTGGGAGATATAGCGAGGGGAGGGTCTTTCAACCTACATGTAGTGCTGATCCCTATAATATAGTTATTTCTGCTTTCAAGCAAATCAGGCAAAGAGCTTGTTATAGTTTTAGTGAAGACCAATAAAATAGAAAAGTCAGAGAAAATTGAGGCTAGTGACCATGTAATTAAATCGTCTTGAGCTATTATGGTAAACTATGCCAACAGGTTTATCTTCAGCTAACAGGCCATGACAAGAAATTAAAACGTCTCAGACAAATGGGAGCAAAACATTTAAAAATGTTTGCCTTTTATATAGACACTCCTAGCATTTGCTTGTCTATTCACACATTAGTTCCATGCTAACAGCCCTGCCTAATATTAATGTGGAAGAAGTATGAGAGTAGCATAGCAGTTGCTGGTGTGACTTGTCTGCATTCCACTCCTGTACACGTTCATTGCCAGACTCCCAGCGCCCCAGCTGCTCTCAGGTGTGATAGATATGAAGATCCCATCACTTATTGATAAAATCTTATCAATATTTATAAGTCCAAGAAGGATTTGAACCTAAAGCAGTGGTTCTCAAACTGTGGGTCGGGACCCCAAAGTGGGTCACAGCCCGCTTTGAATGGAGTCACCAGGGTTGGCTTAGACTTGCTGGGACCCAGGGCTGAAGCCCAAGCCCCACTGGCCAGGGACAGGGCCAAAGCCCTGGGCAGCAGGGTTCAGGTTGCAGGTTGCTTGAGCATCAGCTTTGCCCCCCTGCCCAGAGCGGTGAGGCTCAGGCTTCGGTCCCCCCTCCTGGGGTCGTGAAGTAATTTTTGTTATCAGAAGGGGGTCACGGTGCAATGAAGTGTGAGAACCCCTGACTTACAGTGTTTATTGTGCTGCTAAACAATGCCCATCCACTATTTCCACAAAGCTAGCTGGACAAGCTTTGCCAGTTGCTGTCTTGCTGCTCACAGCCAGCTCAGGGAGTATGCATGGAATTCTGTGCTAGCAGAAGTCATAGAACTTTTTTGTAAGGGAATCTACTTCCTTAATATTTTTTTCAGATTAATTTTTAGAACTTGTGAAAGGTGCCAGATGAACAGCACTGGAAACTGAAGTGATCAGTTAAAAACAACAAAAAATGTTTGAATTTTGTATCTATAAACAGATCAAAGGACAATTTGGCAAGGCACTGCAATTGCAAGCTTCCCCACCCTTTTAATGTGCATGCTAAGCCCTGTTCCGGAGGGACCACATCAAGGATTAGAATATAGTTAAGTCTTCATGTACTAAATGGGTAAAGCCTTTCTGCTATAACTATCAGAAGGGCTCCAATTAATGCCAACTGTGATGGTTTTGTGATGATGTGGACATATGTCCCATGAGATCTGGCCTGAGACTACTAACTCATTTCCAACAGATCACTAAAAGCAAGCAAGCAAATGCTAATAATTATCTGGCACTAGCAGTTTGGATCAGTAACCTGCCGTTGGATGAAGTTCAAAAGGAAGACAACTGGTTATGGAGGAATGATAAATAATATATAAAGAAGCACTTAGGGTGTTCAATTTTTCCACCCTCTATTTTATATAATCTTAAGTTTCTTTCCAGACATGCCAATGCAAATTAGTGTAACCTCTTTAGATGAGCTTTAACTTAGAGGCTTTTTCACTTTTCTGGCTTCAGAATTATTCTCTCTTGCAAACTTCTTTCCTCACTCCAGTCATGCTTCTATGTGTTTGAGGCCAATATCTAAAAGGATTTCTACATTGTGTAAAAAGTTTACCTTAATTTTGTGGTACACAGTTCACCCAAATGTGTGGGTTGTTTTATTTCCCCCCGTAGAAGGTCTTGGAAATATGGTAACTGGTACTAATATCAATTGCAGAACTTGCTAAATCTTATTTCCTCCTTTCTGTCAGATAATATAGTTTCTAGTATAAATAATGGTTTCTACTAAAAGATTCTGAGCCCCTTAGTTCTGACATCTACTCTTCCAGCATTGACTGCTGCACCAGGACATTCCAGTTGCCAGAATCCAGAGATTAGTTTAAAAATGCATAATTTCACTGAAGAACATACTTTTCCTGACTTGTGTAAAATATATATATATGTATTATTAAATAAGTGCTGTGTTCCACTGATTTATTTATATATTGCTGTCAAGTCGAAACTA